CCCGCCGTACCAGGAGTGACCCCCCCATCCACATCTACAAAGTTACTAGTGAGCAGAACTAGAGAGATGCTCCTGGTGTGACATCGGACCGTGCAGGGTGTCATTGCACTACTGCCCATGAGACATTTCAGTGCCACACACACACCCCACCACTGCAGGACACTGCGTGCCGTGGTGGTCACTTGAGTACCAGGACTCTGACAGAGGGCGTGCTGGCAGGAAGGGACCCGCCTGTCACAGTATTTGGAGGATAAGCAGCTTTTCTCTATCCCTGGTTCGGAAAGAGCTTTAAGTCTGGAGAAGAATTTCATTAGGCCATAAAGCAGGCTCCCTCATCAGCCACGATAATACCAACCAGTTTCTCACTGTGCACTGTGTGACGTGCATGTGTGCCCAGGCTCCTCCCAGGCTGTGTCGCTTAGGACATGGATCTCTGGATCTTCCGAGATGAAACTGGGGCTCAGGGAGGGTAAGAGATTTATTTGCCCAGCCTTAAGAGTGGCTACACTTTGGCATCAGTCACCTGAAGGTCAAACGTTCTGCCCAGAATGTTGCAAAATGAAAGAAAAGAGCCAAAATAGTTTCAGTTATTTTCAGTTTTAAACGAGGCAGCTAAAACTCGGGAAAAGGTCCTCTCAGCTCCCACATAGTGGAGTTTGAACAAATGATTTAGATGGGGTCTTCTAATCCCCAATAATGATTATGTACCAAGCGCAATATCATGTTTGTTATGGGAACAGTTTAACCTGGCAGTGCAGGAGGGTGGGAGATTAAAAAGCAAATAACATGCTGGGCATGGTGAGCATCCCTGTAATCCAGCCCAGCACTGGGGAGGCTGAGGCAGGAGGATCACTGTGAATTCAAGGCCAGCCTGTACTACATAGCAAGATCCTGTCTCAAAAGAACAACAAACCCTTAACTTTTGAACAAAAATACAAAGTGTGCCCAAATCCCAGCCTTGCCACTTCTTAGCTATTCAAATTTGACAATTTGTTAAGCTTCTCTGGTCTGCAGTTTTTACACAGATAAAACAAATGCAGCAGTAAGGAATTGAGGAGGAGGGAACAGTAACCATTGGTCTGCTGCTTATGGTTTTTGGAGATAATCCCTAACATAAACATGCACTAGATATTATGAGTGATTATCGATCCATTATGTTCCCAAGACACTCCTGACCCCCAGAATGAAGTGAAGCCTGCCTCTCTAAGCAACTTCATTTCTTAATGATCTGGGATAACAAATGGCCACTGCTGTGTGGACCAGTCTACCTCTCCAGACCTCCCTGAGGAATGCATGGGGTCTTTAAGACTAGCAGTGCCCATGTTCTTGGTTGTAGTTAGAATTAAACAGCAAGTTTTTTGTGTTAGCACACACAGTCTCAGCAATCACCCTGGTTAACGAGCAGGCTTGCATTCTAGGGTTCCCTGGTCACCAGCTCCAGAGTTTTGCCTCTGCAGGAGTACAAACTCTGCCTGAGTTACTGAGAGTGCCTGAGAGAGCCAAGTCGCGGAGGTAACAAAACTGAAAAGCTGGCATGTTTCAGGGCGCTCATGTTCGTTGTGAAGCCAGGTCGTCATGATTTGGGTTCATCTTGCTTCAGATACTCCGCTACCCAGTCACCCTCTTTGCTGGGATCCACATTTCTCGTGTGCTCAATTAGTGTACTTGGGGAGGCTGGCAGTAGTGAGGCTGTAGACAGATCCGTTCAAAGGCTGGCTGAGTTCATGTGTAGCATTTATATGGGAGGGACTCATAATTTATGTTGAAAATATTTTGAGACAGGCGTGATCGCACATGCCTTTAATCTCAGTACTCAGGAGGCTGAGGCAGGAGGACTGCCAAGAGTCCAGATGGGCTGACATAGTGAACTCAAGGCCAGCCTACACAGGGAGACCCTCTTTCAGAAAAAGAGACAAAAGACAATACTGCCCAGTAGAAGATAAAAAGCTGGAGAGATGGAAGGTAAGGAAAGGGCTCCTTTCCCTGGGGCCTGAAAACTCAAATTTATGGGATTAAAATGCCTTCCTTTTGAAAAACAGCTGGGCATGGTGGCACATGTCTGTGATCCCAGCAGAGGCTGAGGCAGGAGGATCGAAGTGAGTTCAAGGCCAGCCTGAATTGCACAGTGAGACCTTGTCAAAAAAGAAAAATATATACAAGGCATGGGGCTTGCATATTTGTCGCTCTTTGAGTCTGTACATTGAGGAAGAGCAGGGTGGGAAAGGCTGCTGGGCGTTGTGGGTTTACTGGAGAGACCCCGATGAATCCACTCTCATCTGCAAATGTTTAGCAGTGGCAGGAGGGGTGAGTGGTGAGACCCCCTCAGAGGGCTTGCTTGTAGAGCAGGTGGGTTTCAGCCACTTCCTGAAGAACACGTACTCGTGAACAAGGGAGCCGTGGAGGGGTGAGCCAGGAGGGCAGTTTCGTCTGACACAGCAGTACACCTGAACGTGCCTCAGGAGAAACCTTCCCGTCCCTTCCCGTGCCCTGCCTAGGGAAGCTTACTCTGATTCTGGAGCCAGCGTTACCCACCAGGGCTAAACACAAACTCGAGCTCCAGCCTCAGCTCTGTGGTTCCGTCCACCTGGTGAATTCCCAGCTTGGCACCCTCAAGATCTGACAGGCCTTAGTGACATAAGCAAGACCAAATGCTAAGATACAGAGAGAAGCCTGACTCAGACCTGCAGCCAGGGCATCCAACTGCCGGTCCGTACGGCATCTCACCAGGCCACGAGCCGTGCCAGAGACGCAGTGCTGGCACAGAGGGTCTGCCTGCCACTTGGAGGACACCACAACCATTAGCAGGCATTTTGGTTCCACTTACAATTCCCAGTCCACTAGGAGCCAGCAGGGCAATCAGCAGCGTGTCATTTTCAGCATGATCCAGACATGCTTTCCCTCCTTGCTCCCCATGTGGCCTTTCCAGGGCCTTCGTATTTTTCTAAAGGACTGACCAGATGTGCTCAGTGTTCCCACTGGTAAGACGGAAAGAAGCTAATTCATGAAAAGCCCAAGTTGGAGAGGAGGGTGTTCTCCCTGCCGAGAACAAGGTCCTCAGGAGGTTTGCTCAGCTCTAGTTCCCGCGTCCACAGCTTGCACTGGAAACTGGCAGAGGCAGGTCCGGGTTGGTCTTAGGTGAACCAAGTACTTTGAGATGCCTGATTATCCTGCTCCCTGTAGGCCAGGGAGGAGGAGGAAGCTGGTTGTCATTACAGACTGACTTGGGGAGGGGCATCCAGGCCGCACTGCTCAGCTGACCTCGCCCTGCAGGATTCCTAGCTGCTGCTTGGCTTCTGTGAGTCTGGAGCCTGCTGGGCCTAAACTCTCCCTCCCAAGCTCTGCAGGCCCTCTGTGGCTCAAATCTTTCCCTGGACTGCGTTAAAAATGTTAGAGCGGCCATTAAACATGGCACACTAGTTTCCTAGTCCCTAACGAAGCAAGACATTAACATGGGGAGGCAGGCTTGCCTATGACAGTTTTTGCTAAGTGCAACCTTAAATATCCTAAGTTGCATAACCCAGAGTATACCTATTAGTGCCATTATTGGGGTGTGCATTAGAGAGCTCTGGATGGTGCAGAATCCATGGGATGCGAGATTTTGCACATTTGCTGCAAAGAACCAGTTGCTGAACAAGCAAAGAAACCGCGTTGGCCCCACTAAAAATAATTGATGGAAGAGAATCTGGGATAGTTGTCCTCCCAAGGAGTCATCGAGCACTTGTCCCGGTCCCCATGGGAGGGAGTTATCAGGACCTGTGGTTTCTAATGAGGGTCCACCCGGTGTGCTCTCAGTATTGACCACCATCAAATCCAAAGCACACCATCTGCGGAAATTCTCTCAGGATGTGAGATTACCTTGGAAGAGTGGGGGTGTGTATGTAACATTGCTTCGCGTCATGACAGAGTCAGGCGGGAACAGTAGAAAAAGGAAATAAATCACCGTGGGCACTTGCAGTTACGTTGTGTGCGTAGCTTAGCCAATAATCTCATGTGATGTCCTGGAGGACAGTGTGGAAAGGAAAGAAGGCGGGATGGAACCTTCCAGGTAAACGGTGACCGAGGCCAGCCCGCCTGCACGCCTCAGGTCTACTGACCTTTATCTCTCATGGAAATTCTGTATTATAGGTGCTCCAAACATTTTCCTTTGCCTGATCATCCTGTTCCTCAAATCAGTGTTGAAATGCTTTATTATACCCTTAACTCAAGATGTAACGTGTTTACTTAGAGATGTGCGTTGCTGCATTTGAGAATATTGGTGTAATATACGTTAATATTTTGATACACCTTCCAGCATTGTTAACCAGCTGAACAGACATGCACAATGTACCAGGAAATCAATTTCAGACACCGAAAACTAAGCAGCAGCATTTCCTCCTTGTCATGATTCATCTCTCTTAAGTGCAAATAAGATATTAACTTACGGCAGAAAGATTTTGATTGTATACAAATGAAGTACTTTTCAATATATGACAACTACCTTAATTTTGTTTCTAACAGACAAGTAAAGAAGTCTTTAACTTACCATCACATGTAACTCATCCGTGTTTTGAATCGGATCATTTTCCTAAGGAGACCTGACTTTCAGGAGTGTATTTTTCTCTCCCAGCTACAAGCTTCAGCCAAGACAGATTTATGACCTTTTAAAAATAATGATGGAAAATGAAGTCGGAGGAAACATTTTAGTATCTGCTTTGCTCTGAGCCCCAAACTGCGAACTCTCCAGTTCTGGAAGGCTTTGAAATGCTGATTCCAGTCTTCTTGTGGGTTCTTAAACACCTTCTCAAATGACCCATTTTAATAACCCAAAAGCTATTATATAAGGAGCAGCCATAATTCAGTCCAGGGCTCTAGGGGGACCCTCACAGTTCAGCAATGAATAGTTAATGCGGTATAATGTTTAGCAGGTTATTAGTTCTCACTATACAAATGCTGATCAGGGAACGCTTTTATAAGGTGTTTAAAAGAAAATGTAATTAACTGGTTGCGTGCTTCTGTTGCAGCTCAAATTGAAATTATTCCATGCAAGATCTGTGGAGACAAATCATCAGGAATCCATTATGGTGTCATTACGTGTGAAGGCTGCAAGGTAAGCCTTTTCAATTGTTGTTGTTTCCATTCATGTTACAATGTAGCTCTAGTTTCTATTTTTTACTGATACGTTTTAAATTTCAATTCCTTAGGAGTTTTAAGCGGGAGAAAGGACAGGATGGCGTAAGTAGTAGGTGTTAAGTGACAATGAACTACTTACCAGTCCCAATTACTTCAGTGCAGGATGACCCAAAATTGTGTATTTTCTTGTTAATTTGTATAATATAATAGGAAGTATAAAAACAACAATCGTATCAAATTTACTCAGTACAAGAGCTGATGGGCTGAAATGACATCTGTCCAGGCGACGCTTGGGACAGTCACTCCGTGAACAAACGCACAGCCCAGTGGTGCCGGGGGCACTGCTGAGTGGTGAAAGAAGCTATGTGCTTTTATTCCTTCTCTGAGAGGAGCTGGAGACTACAGAAAAGCATCTGAGCTGTGCTTTATGTTTGCCACTTCCAGCCCCAGAACTGATGGAAGTGATAAGTATCTGGTTATCGTTTGTAAAATCTAGACTTCTCTACTGCCCCTGCTACGAAGTTCATAAAAAGGTAGTTCCAGTAAGTTTACTCAGAATTTGGTTGTGTCTGTTTGCCACGCATGTTAACATATCCGGCCAGTTATGGAAAGGCTTCCTGGAAGAGCTGAGTTCAAATGCTGGCGTGACTGCTTGCCCACACTGTTCCGGGCAGGTCTTAACCTTCTGGTTAGTGCCCCAGTTTCTCCATCTGTAAAGTGGGTATGACACCAGTTTTCCTACCCTCTAAGGCTGTTCCAAGAATAGAATGAGAAATAATGTGGGGCGGGAAGATAAAGATGTTTATCCTAAGAATTCAGGACTACCCCTTCCACAACCCGCATTGCCTCTGTCATTAAGATTTAAATCCTCCTGCTTATATTGGAAGGACCTTGAGACAATTTACAGGATTAAAAAGCACAAAATAAATAGGAGAGAAGCTATTTAAACACGCAGGAGGCCTCAGAGACAGCCAGTTGCTACAATCAGGCCTGAATTAGCCCTCAGGCTTTTTGCGATTGAGGCAAAATAACATAAAATTCACAAATTTGGGTTGCTTCCCTTTAGTGAAACTAGAAATTACAATGTCATAAAATACAAAATCACCTACAGATACAAATAATTACTGAGACTTTGGGGAAATTAACCTAACGCAATCTTTAACACAGCCACACTGCTCATCATTTAATTTTTATTTTTTTATTCTTCATCTCGCTGTTACCCCCGAAGATACACATTCGGGTACACGTTGGTAATGTGTACACATGTAACCCATGCTCCACGCTCACACCTTCTCCCTGAAGCCTGGGATTTGTGCACACCACCGCACATACCTAATCCCTTTTTTAAAAATTACCTGCCCTTAGGGAGGGGGAACTTTGAACTATGCACCTCTATGATCCCCCTCAGTGCCTCTGGTTCTGGATTTCCAAGGATAAATGTCACCCCCTTTTTTTTGCTCAGTCTTCCCTCCCTCACAGCTAAGTAAGGATTGAGAGGTGACTGCCTTTGGCAGCTGTCGCCCATTGATTTTTGAGTCCATGAGGCTGTCCTTCACCCAAATTCCCACTGTAACAGGCTTTTCTCATGAGGGCTCCTACACAGCAGCGCAGGCCGCACCCCTACTTATCTGTTCCTTGGGGTGTGGTCGGTGTGGCAGCTGTTAGATCTGGGAATTGAGTCCACGGTTGTGTGACTCTGTATGAAAAAGTGGTTAATAACATGTTAGTCGATAAAAGCTGACTTGAGTATCACTGTGCTTACATGTGTAAAAAGTATGCATTTTCTGCCTCCATGTTTACTTGCAAGAACAAATAAAAATAATAAGGAAACAAAGGGCAGTGACTATTCCACAGTTACCTTTTTTCTAGATTCCCCTCCAGGTCCTGGCCCTGTCGGGCTCCATGCCCAGGAGGTTTTCAGTTATCTATGCTTCTGTTCCTCCGCTTGACTGACTTTAAACAGCACAACTCACTGAGCGATAAATAAATGATTTCATCAACAGATTGGGACCGCGCCCAGTGTGGGGCTCAACGGGATTTGTTTCTTTGCAGTGCATGGAGTATCTGTTCCGTGTTAGAGCTTCACTCTGCCGTAGCTCGCATTTTTTATTCCTACTTGTAGTGAAGTCAGGAGACTTCTGCACGCATGTTATTTATCTCGTTCCTACCAGGTGAAGTTGTTAGTATCATGATGAATTATCATTATAAATAACCATGTCTGTGGTAGTGTAATGAGACATGAGGAAATGTCTAATTAGATACATCACACAGACACCTAATGAGGGGGGGAGCAAAAGTGACTGTGATTTCCTGAAGAAATCATTTTATGAATATTTTCAATTTCATTTTGAAATCAACAACCTGAATGCATAAGAAACTAGAAGCCTACTTGGTCGCTGAAATGTGTGTTTCCCACACATTTGCCCAGGGAAGCACTGCGTGGGGCAGTGAAGGCACTTCGGCCATTTTTCCTCTGTATGCGCCGCTCTCCTGGTCCCCGTTGCTACCAGGACAGTGACCACCTTGTGCTGTGCTGTCCCCTAACCCTGCCACCACACTGCCTGGGTTGGAATCCCTGCTCTGCCTTTGGCCAATTTGAGCACCTCCCCAGCCGCCCTGGACCTTAGTCGGTGCAATCTCGAGTAGATCGTGGACTGAGGCAAGAGGATGGCTAGGGCGCGTCCACACGGCTGCTGTCCAGGGCTGCAGAAAGAAGGGCCTGCCCAGGAGAGAGGGGAGGCAGAGGCCCGGCTGCAGGCAGTCTTGGTGGCATTTATCGTACTTGAGAAACGTGTGGAACCCAGTGTGACTGGAGCAGAGGGCCACTCTGTGGGCACAGTGACAGACAAGCATAGAAAAGTTCGCCTTCCCTCAAGTTTGACGGCTGCAGTACGCAATGCTTTTATTCAAAATGGATTTTACTACTTCTTTTGGCAAAGTCTGGGATCAGGCTGGTGAGATTTAAAAGAGCATGATCAGAATGCAGGCCTGGAAGGGTTTTGGTCAGAAAGCATCAGGAGCTTGGGACTGCATGCACCCCCAGCTCTGGAGGGAGGTGGGGGCCACTGGAGGAAAAGAGGGGTCAGCCTTCAAAGCGGACAGAAATAGAAAGTTTTTAACAAACCCTGGTCATTAGTGAAGGTGTCCTTTTGGGAAGACGTATGACCTGTCACTCAGCCTCAGTTCCTGCCCGCACAGTGTAGTGACACACGTGCTTTTTTACCTACCCCGCTTCAGACTTTTTCATGATAACCTACAATGCAGCATTTGGGCTGGTGAATTGGTTTCTGATTACATTTAAGGCCCTTTGGCCTCAGTTAAGCCAAAAAAAAAAAAAAAAAAAAAAGCAGCATTCGCTTGTCAAAGGATTTAGTCATCAATTAATACATCTAAAACACAAAACAGGAGCTCCTGTGAAAAGCTGCCTCTCCAGGTAGTAAAGAGCATGTGAATGGCTTCCTTGTATTAACATTCGCTTCTCACAACAATAGAGGGCCTTTTCACAGACGCCTGTGTGTATAATTGGTCCTTTTTTTCCCCATGCAAAGAAATTAAGAAAGCAACGTCTCGAGCTTTTTTGTATTAGGTTAAAGAGAAACTTCCTGACGTGTTCTAATATCTTTACTTAAACTATGAAAACGACTCCCTGGATGCATTATGCCCGCTTTTCAGCACTGATATGTTCATGCTGGATATTGAAGCTGGCCCCACGCAGTGACAGTGAGAGAGGGTCTTGAGGTCACAATGGGAACCTGTACGTGTTTCTCCAGGTGTTTGCTCAGATCGAATCCAAGTACAGCAAAGCCCGGGCCAAACAGACATCCAGTTCTCCCCACACCCGACACGCGAGGTCAGCGTTTATCAGGGATTGTCTGTGCAAACAGTCATAGACGGAGGAGTGTCACCCACCAGCAAGAGTGCCCTCTGGGAGGTCTGAATTTCGGGACTTCCTGCAGACCTCATGTGAGAGTGTGGCACAGCTCCAGCTAACTTGCAAACAAGGCTGCCTGTTGTCTTCTAAGTAAGGAATTTCCCTCACTGCTTCTCGGGATGATTATTCTCGTGTCCCCTCATTTTAATTTTATGGCCTCCCCATCTTAATCGAGGTAGGCATGCCTTTCTGTACCCTCAGTAAAACTGAATGACCGTCTGTCCAGCTCTATCCAGATTAGCTGACCTTCTGCGTACAACTCGTCCAACGCTGTCTCCTCCCTCACCCTCGTACTTCTGTGCATCCTCAAGACAAATGAAACTGGGACACTGGGCAGCCCGTTTCATACAAGATTCTCTGCTCTTTGCACAAAATGAAGGTAGACACATACCCACTTTAACAAGCCCCCAAATTTCCAATCTGTAGCTGCCTTGGAAAATACAATAGTTAGGCAGGCATACGAGCACTCACAGTAAATCACAGCATTATGAATAAATCTTGGTTGTCAAAAGCAAATGTGTAGCCGTTCCAATGCGTCTGCCATTAGAATTCAGCAAGGCAGCTGTCAGCTGTTTTCTTGTAATTAAACAGCCAATGAGCAGCTAATTAAGACATATGTGTATACAGAAGTGGAAGTGGGTATGTTAATGAGCTGTAGGAATCAATTCATTAAGTGAAAATTGTCAAAAGACCAAACATCGGATCAGCATTTCAGCCTTTGCTTCATGAGGAGGAGCCCCAGCTGGGGGGGACCCCTCCACGCACCTTCGAAGTTGTACCTGCAGTCCCACCCAGGGCCAAACTGTTGGTAATCCCGGTACATTTCAAAGCCTTTCAGGAAGATTAGCAAGCGTTTCCCTGGACAGAAACTTGATACTTATGACCCTTTGAAATGCCATCTCCTTCCCCTGAAATACAGAACTTTTGCATGCAGAACTAAAATACGACCTTTTTTTGCCATCTGTCTTGGGTTTGCATGGTCCAGCCTCCCCACATGTCTATCTTGATGCTTTTGATCAGTGTATGAAAAAAGTCTTTGGCCTCTG